GTATTAGAGTAACACAAGCAGGCTGCTACTTCTGTACCTTCAGCCAATCCTGCTCAGGCCTGCCTACTCCTTCAAAGCAATCTAATCGTTGTGTTTTATCTTCAAGAAAATATCAGTTGTACATAGTATTAAACGCAGTACTTACTGTCAGGGAGGCGCTCCCAACAGGAAATAGAAGTAAGCACATAATTATCCCTCTAGTCTTCTCCCAGCTTCCTAGCTCAGCTTGCAAAGAGCAGGCTTACTGGGCCGGCTGACTCTTCACTCAGAGTGTATTTGGTGCAGTTGTCTTTTCCTTTTCTCATCAGGCAGAAATATTAGCACTGATCTGATTTTGCATCAGGATGCCCCAATCCAAGGTAATGCAAACGAGGCATAGGTCCATCCAGTGTTCACGAGCAGTTCTAAGCCACTTATACGCCTGCTCCTTAGTGGCATCAATGGAAGGGCTTCCATCTTCCAGCCACCAGGCTTCCAGCTTCATACTGCAAACAAAATGTTTGTTGTTGTAAGACAGAGCACTTGATTTTTTTAAGATCCCTGAACATTCACTGCTCCAAATGTGTATCTGGAAATCTGATCCCATATTCAAACTAGACTGTTGCTATAGTAAACCTGTGTGTTCGTTATTCAAAGTATGTGAGGGACTGCAGGGCCAGGTTATGTTACTCTGTAACAAAAGAGAGTTAATAAACAAGAGACAAACCCAAATCTTTTAGTTCTACCCTTCTAAGTCAAACTACCACTCACATGAACTTCTCAACTCTCTTTTAAACTCTAGGCAAAGTGCACAACAAGGTGCTCTGCACTAAGGAAGGAAAGATTATGAGAATTAAAGGTCAAACTGTGCTCTCAGCTACAGCAACGTAAGAGAGAGAGGCCCCTGTATTAATTAGAGTTACTTCAGTTTTACACTGAAGAACACAGACTTGGGAGTAGTCTATTTTTAAACCTTCTTTTATTTAAATCACCAGACAAAAGACTATGCTGGGAGTATTTTACAAACAAGCTGCTTGGTTCAGCACTTTTAGAAGCATTAAGGAATGCAATCAGATTGTAAGAACTAATAATAGACTGAAGCTATTCAAGTTCTCAGCTATTTTCACAATAGCCTTAAAATCTTCCACGTGAAAGTGATGAAATTCTGCTTTTAATTTGAAAAGTAATAATTTTATGCATCTGACCTGTGCAGAAGTTCTGTGCGAAGGAGTTCTGAGATTGCTGTAAGAATGTATCAGAAGTAAAAACTTAAAAAACTGACTGTACTTCAAGCTCATAAAAGTGCTCAGGCTTCTTGTTTTGTTTGCAATAATAGGACTTTTAAGGTGGAACAATTAGAGAGTTTGCAAGGTTTCTTGTGCAATTGATAATCTGGATACTTAACCTAAGGAAACAAACCACAACTTTACATAGATTCCAGTACACAGATCCAGATCCCTGGTTGTATAAACTAACCTAACTCCCTTCAAATCCTAATGTCTCAATCAAATTAGCAGAAGGATTACCATAAAGCAAACCCAAATAATTTCAACAATTTGAATTTTCTTAGACTGGTATGAGTTAGAATGTTATTAAAAGATAGGTTCAACCGAGAAGTTAATGTAGAGATCAATGTTACATCTCAGAATTTACTCACATGGATTCTAACATTACAATGTCTAAATACAAAATAACCCAGGATCAGAATTGAAAATGTTCCAAAAAAGACAAAAAACCATAAATGCAAATACCCTCTGACCATGGTCTCCCCCTTCTAGAGACCTCATGCACCTGTCTTAATCCCAGGTCCATTTTTTCTTTGACTATCTCTGGATTCACCAAACAGCCAGCGCAGTTTTGGCTTGCTCTCTTGTGGCCAACATAAGAGCTGCAATTGTCCTGGTACTGTTCACTTCCAAGGACCTTCACAAGTGTTTTTTCTAAGGCATGACAAGTTTCTTCAGATTACAGTCACTTACAGCTGAACCTATTAAATGACTCGAGTTTGAACCCACAATCAAGTTATCGTGGCTTAACATGTTACCAAGCATCAGCTTAGATACAGAACTGAGTACATGCAGATTACTAGCCCACAGCAAAGCACGGAAATGTGGCACTGCTAAGCCCCAAAGGCACTATCAGTGCTGCCTTGTACCTCTCACATCTGTAAAATCATCTGACACAAGTGTACTGCCAACATCTTCAAAAAAGGTCTTCAAGACTGATAGTGGTTTTCAGAAGGATGGCCTGACATTTTCAGCATGCTTTTAACAACAGTCTGTCAGCGCTTGAGCTTGGTTATTTGAGGGTACTGTTTTGGTCAGGTGTTCGCTAACACAGGATGGCAACTTCAAATATTTTCTGGCATCAGTAACCACTGCCTGTTTTGTAACTGTTTGCATTGCTTGTTAGGTAGTATGTGTTATTTTGTACATTTTTAAAGATCCCAGATGCTGAAAAGGTGAGGACTTTAAAAGACTGTGAAATATTCCTTGATCTTTATTAACATTGTGCCAGGCATTATTAACCTCCCCAAAATAGTTTTATGGTATAAATAGTTCAGAGCACCAGATCTGGCACGAGAGAAGTGCACAGACACAAGCAGGTTGACCAGAGATGCATCACAGAACTACATCGCCCACTTAGTTGTCAGCCAGATCAGCTCCTCGGTCACCTCCCACCTCTCATGCAGAACAGCACAAGCACATTGCAAACAACAGAACTACAGCAGCCCTGAAATAAGGCTGAATTAAGATGTCACAGTTCTGCACGGGGAGAAGAAAGATGCTGACCTTTTCCTTTGTTAAGTTTTAAACATAGCTGCTCTTATTGCAGGTACAAATGTGTGTAATTTCAGGAGCAATGATGTCACAGGAATCCATTCATTTTAAAAAGGACTTATCAAAAGCGCATTCCATATCAGTAGAAGAATCAGCAATTCGTGGTAAGACCAGAAGTTGAAAACATTCCACATTCGCTATTATGCCTCAAGACCATTATCATCACTCTTACAAACCAACTGATGAAACATGCTCAGGAACAGAGTGATGAATTTTTGATTAATAAACATTAACTGTATTTATTACTGAACATGAAAAGGATCATCAGTACAGAAATTATACTTTGACTACTGGGTTATTTGATCATCAACCTTTGTAACATATCAACAGCAAATAAAATACTCAGGCAGCAAAGGTTGGGAGGTAGTCAGATTAAACAAATTGCTCCATAGAACAAGAGTCACAAACTACAAAGCACACTAAGCAATAGCACCAAAACTGTTGTATGTGACCCAGGCATTTGTATTCCTTCTAGAATTTCAAGGACAAGCCCCAGAACCTCTCCAACCCCTAGGGAACATTTCCCCAGCAGCTTCAGTTAATCTGCTTTGGGACTGCCAGAATCACGTAAGCACTGGTACGCTGCAGAGAAAGCCAGATCAGCTGCCTCACCTGTCTCACCACACACTCAATCCCACAAGCATGCTGATACAAGCGTGGAGGCAGAAGTGTGTTGGTTGAAGGTAGAAGGAAGAGCAAGACGGCCCTTTTATGGAAGTGTAGTCTCAGTTTCTCTTTCTGTTAAAGGCAAATAAGCATAACATTTGCAAGTTACTGTACTATTAAATATTCTTATAGCCAAATTGTCTTTTTTCGTGCTTCTATTAGGAGCCAAAATCCTTATTGTCCCTATACCACTGCCAAAAATTCCAGTCAACATCACGGATATTCCAACCAAGCTTATGGATACCACCAAAACAAGGTGTAATCTTGCTCACAAGCTCCAAGTATTATCAAAATATGTAACATGTATGATTATATGAGTCACAAATCACAAAGCAGCAAAAGTCAACACTTCTACCTCACCTATTAAAGTAGCAGATATGTCAAATAATTCATGAAGATTTGCACAATATTTGTAGTGCAGTCAGTAGCATAAGAACTGGTAGGATTTTATGAGATTTCTATCCCAACTGAGCTATCGGTAGTAGTCTCTAAGTTTGGAATGGCTCTTGAGTCTTTAGAATAATTACACAACAATATTTAAAAAGAGGGGAAGGGATAACATGAGACAAAAAAATAACTGTAATGTTCCTAGTCTCACCCAAACTCCCCACTGATATCCACTAATACTCATTAATAAATATATGATCTATTTTCCATGAAAATCAGCAGACTTCCAATTTCCTGCAATATGCAGTTCATTCACCAATCAACTCAGTGATCAGAGCACGTAATTCCTTTCGTAAGTCAAACTCTACCTCAAATTAATTTTTTTTTTCCTCATTGGTGCTACCAGAAGACATTTTCAAAATCTTCTTGTCACAGTAATTGGCTCCTTTTACCATTTCTCAGCCAATTTATTCATGATAGCAAATCACAGTAATATTATTTGTCCTTGCGCTATCATCATCCTGCCGCTTAAACAACTTCTTCCCTGATGTATTTATAAAGACGGGAAGACAGATGCATCACTGCCACGTATTGACAGTAGACTGGAAGAGACAGAGAAAGATTAAGACCATCCTACCAAAGAGGAAAACATATAATCTTAATATCCGTAAACATTCTAGAATTCCTATCTCCTCTGGAATTCCTTTATTTAAAGGTATTTCAGAGCAAGCTGCCTGACTCGGGCCCAGGGTCACCACCCCACCAAACAGTTCCGAGGCAAAGCGCTTCCTCTTCTTTTTCGTTTGTCTTTTTTTTTCTTTTTTCCCCTTCACGCTCTACACGGCCCCGTCGTCCCCAGCCCCCGCTTCACCTTGGCCCTGCCAATGCTCTGACGGACGAGCAGACGGCTCACCGCCAGCGCATGATTCCCGGGAACTCTTTCCCTGGGCCGGGACGTCGCCCGCTGCCCGTGCGGAGAGCAGGCCGCTACCGGGAGGACCGGACCCCCCATCCCTCGCCGCCAGCGGCAGCCGCCTCAGGTGCGACGGCGACGGCCCCGCCCCACCCGCTCGCGCCTGCC